AAAATACTGCACTTTAATGTCTGCATTGCAGTTTCAGGACGAGAGTGGTTTTAATGAGACGGTGCCCCCCTGACCCGGTAATATTCGAGACTTTTATTCGGAATTTAAAGCCAGGAAGATTGCTCAACTGAGCCCTGTGATTTCCTCTCCTGGATCCACGTCCATCCATCTCCAGATGCGATTTAATAAACGTACTGGAGGATAAATTCGCCCCGACCCTCGCACGGATATGGCACCCAAGGGGCGCAGGTCCCCAGGACCAGCTCGGTCCAGTGCTGGGGGCAGGGGGGCGCTCAGAGGAGCAGCCTGTACCCTCCCCGTGGCCCGGGTGCCCCGGCCCCTGCTTCCCGACCCCTGGGCTCTGTCGCCGACCCTGGTCTCAGCTTTCCCATGGCCAAACCCAGGCGTCCTGCCTGGAAGAGGAGGCCATGCTCCCAGAGTCCCGCGTACACCCGGAGGAACTCGCGCACCCTGAAATGGGAATGGCCGCCGACGCGCTTTCTATGCAAATGGCCAGGCGAAGGCGTCCCTGAGAAATTAGCTTCTTGCTGAAGCAAATTTACTAGATTGAAATGAGCTCGGGAGAAACAAGTCGTGCAAACGAGATCATTGGGCCGCATTAAAACTGGGGATGTTGGCGCCTTGCAAAAAAAAAAAAAAAGGCCGGGAAAGGAGGGGGCGGTCAAAGCGCGCTTGGAAACGAAGCCGGGGCTCCTCAGAGACCGGATATCCGGGAGCGTGCGGGATGGGTCCCCGCGGGGACCTCGGCTGGGAGCTGCTCCCGGGGGACCTAGGGGGGGGCGCCTCTTCCGCCCCAGCCGCGCTGCGCAGCAACCTCGCTCCGAGGGGCCGATCCCGACCGCGGCCCGCAGGGGGCGCGCTCGAGCCGAGCCGGAGTGGGGAAGGGGGCGGGGCCAACCCTTGGTCCTTCGCCTGCAGCTCGGGTCCCGCCCCCTAGACGTCCCTATCCTCCCGTGATGTTCAAAACGCCTGCGGTGATGGGGGGAGGGGGCCCTAGGGAGACGGAGTGGGACGGGGTGGGAGTAGGAGCCCAAAGTGCACGGGCTGCCTACCCCCTACCCCAAAGAGGAATATATTTAACACATGAACACAGAGTTTACATCTCCTTATTGAAAATAATCTAGAATGACATAAATCCATCTCTCTGGGAAGCCCTGCGCCCTTGCGATGCTAGGCTTGGTGATGACAGCAGACGGCAGAGGTCGTTCCCAGGGCGGGGAACGGTCCCTCCGCCTCGGTCTCCGTCCCTGCGACGAGGATGACCCTGTGCCTACCGAGGGGAGCGCTTTCGGACCTCGGTCTTCCCGGGGGAGGCGTCCTGTGTTGTTAAATGCCATACTGCATCCTGTCCGTTTGGTGGCCTGAGGCTTGTCTTGAAATGCTCGACAGTCGTGTGCTCACAGGCTGTCCTCAAATTGATATTGTCATCAGAAAGCACATGCAGAAGGCCTGGCAGCATCCACCCTGGGCCAGGCCCCCAGCCCAGGTGTGCCACATGACAACCCTGGACTTAAGGTATATGTTAACATCCATATATCATATTAATATAAAGTACAACCCGGGACATAAGCGTATGTTAATTACCCCCGTTTTAGGGACGCAGTCAGGCCACTGGTGGGACAGAGAGATGGAACAGCAGAGGTCAGGTAAGCTCAGCTGCATGTCCAGGGCCTGAGGGCCCAGATGTCACAGGGGTTCTTATTTATCAGCTTTCAGGGTGACTCAGAGCCAGGGGAGTCTTACATGGATTTTAAAGGCGGCCGACGTGGGTTTTCTATTACCGTGCCCCAAATCTGCTCACATTTCCTACACCTGTGCAATCATGGAGGTCTATTTTTTTCCCCTCGATTGTGGCAAAGGCTTCTCATGTGGCCTAGACATTTTAAATGAAAAGAAATTGGGACTCTTTTTCTTATCAAACTGTAGGNGAGTTTTACTAAGTTCTACACAGTCTTCATGTGTTACCAGTGGTTGCGTGTGCAGCCTGTTTTTATTAATTAACTCCTTATCTACCTGAAAACAAAACTACTTACTAGGGGGCGGGGCCAACCCTTGGTCCTTCGCCTGCAGCTCGGGTCCCGCCCCCTAGACGTCCCCATCCTCCCGTGATGTTCAAAACGCCTGCGGTGATGGGGGGAGGGGGCCCTAGGGAGACGGAGTGGGACGGGGTGGGAGTAGGAGCCCAAAGTGCACGGGCTGCCTACCCCCTACCCCAAAGAGGAATATATTTAACACATGAACACAGAGTTTACATCTCCTTATTGAAAATAATCTAGAATGACATAAATCCATCTCTCTGGGAAGCCCTGCGCCCTTGCGATGCTAGGCTTGGTGATGACAGCAGACGGCAGAGGTCGTTCCCAGGGCGGGGAACGGTCCCTCCGCCTCGGTCTCCGTCCCTGCGACGAGGATGACCCTGTGCCTACCGAGGGGAGCGCTTTCGGACCTCGGTCTTCCCGGGGGAGGCGTCCTGTGTTGTTAAATGCCATACTGCATCCTGTCCGTTTGGTGGCCTGAGGCTTGTCTTGAAATGCTCGACAGTCGTGTGCTCACAGGCTGTCCTCAAATTGATATTGTCATCAGAAAGCACATGCAGAAGGCCTGGCAGCATCCACCCTGGGCCAGGCCCCCAGCCCAGGTGTGCCACATGACAACCCTGGACTTAAGGTATATGTTAACATCCATATATCATATTAATATAAAGTACAACCCGGGACATAAGCGTATGTTAATTACCCCCGTTTTAGGGACGCAGTCAGGCCACTGGTGGGACAGAGAGATGGAACAGCAGAGGTCAGGTAATATCATATTAATATAAAGTACAACCCGGGACATAAGCGTATGTTAATTACCCCCGTTTTAGAGACGCAGTCAGGCCACTGGTGGGACAGAGAGATGGAACAGCAGAGGTCAGGTGACGGGAGCGCTGCCGCGCTTCCCAAGCGGCGCACTATCCAGTGCGCCACCGGGCCGGCCCTTACATGGATTTTAAAGGCGGCCAGAGCTCAGCTGCATGTCCAGGGCCTGAGGGCCCAGATGTCACAGGGGTTCTTATTTATCAGCTTTCAGGGTGACTCAGAGCCAGGGGAGTCTTACATGGATTTTAAAGGCGGCCGACGTGGGTTTTCTATTACCGTGCCCCAAATCTGCTCACATTTCCTACACCTGTGCAATCATGGAGGTCTATTTTTTTCCCCTCGATTGTGGCAAAGGCTTCTCATGTGGCCTAGACATTTTAAATGAAAAGAAATTGGGACTCTTTTTCTTATCGAACTGTAGGCATGAAGAAATGGAAGTCTCAGCCCTTGTGACCCCGGGAGAAGAGCAGTGCCGCTTGGATTTAGTCCCGGGGACCATAGAATCCAAACAAGCTCTAAGGACGATGCCATCACGTGCATGGTCCGTAGGGGGCGCTGTGGGCTCCTGAGCGCTCTGCACGCCCACGGCGCTTTGGGGTAAGACTTCAGAAATTATGAAACCTGAAATAAAACTTCCCTGCCGTTCCCTCGTTAGTTCACTAAAATCTGTAATACTTATGTGAGTTCTCTTTACAGACATGAAATAACCTTGTTAGATGATTAAAATAAAAATACGTAATGTAAAACTTGGCTTCTGCAATAAATTATTCAGTTTATTACATTTTAAAGTATACATTTCCAAGTCACTTACAATATACTGAATAAACTGGATTTGAAGGTTTTGTTGTTAGAATAAAGATGAACTTTAAAAGAAGTCTCTCCTCTCTTAAGGTTTCTGAGGTTTTCTTGTTTTGTTTGCAGTTTCTATGGGTCTGCAAGAAGGTTAATAGCTGGGGGAAATTATAATAGTGAAGAGACAGACTATGGGATATCACAGTAACAGATTCCACAACACTCATCTTCCCACAAAGGGGGAGGGGACAACGAGGAGGATTTAAGCAGGGGAGGAGAAATTCTCTGAACTCAAGGAATGAATCAAATTTGGTAACATGATATCCAATCGTCCTCATTTTCTGAGCCATCATGATCAATTTCTGCCCTTTCATGTCCATGACTGTCACAGACTTCAGGGAACAGAAGGTTTGTCTGGGTGGAGACAAGCCAGATTGCTTCTGGCGTGGGTTCATTTCCCAGCAGAGACTACTTTTTCTCACATGCCCAGAAGGAGGGCTGGGAGGCAGAGGGCCGGGAAGCGACCCCTTCACAAAACCCTCTGCCCTGCTGTGGATCTGTCACTGCCACCCATGGCCACTCTACTGTGGCCTGGCCAGAGCAGGCATCCAACACCCATGGGAGCCCCTCTTCTGGTGTCAATGGCTGTGTCCAATGCAGGTAGCAATTGCCTAAGTGTGGCCCACCTTGGTGTGTGGGTGTAAAGGAGCTGCAGAGAAATGATACGCTGCATGAATAACTTTCCCCTGCAGGAGTGTTTCAAAGTCATTGTGAAGAATAAATAGTAGATAGTGAAGTAAGAATACTTTCTTTTCAAACCGTGTTCATCATTTGGGAAAAAAACAAAACTAAAAACCACTCCCTTAACACACACACACGCGCGCGCGCGCGCACACACACACACACGCACACAAACATGCCCCATGCAAACTGTTTTTTTGTGTCCCCTGAGAATGCGTGAGGGACAGTGTTCTAAAATTCTCTGGATCCCTCCCACTGTGACTAATCGCTCCTCATTCCCTTGGTTTCCTGTTCGATCTACATACTCTCTAACAGGCTGGTCACTAGTTGAAAATACTGGGGTATCTTAGGGTTTGTTCTCAGACCTCACTCCTGGTTCCTTTTTCCCTAAAGTTTGGGAATTTCAGGCCACACCTGTAAGACAGATGTAAGTGTCTGCAGCAAAGTCATGCAAATAGAGTCCTCTGTGTTTTTTCAGATGACAAATGGAGGAAATTCAAAGGTTCCTCTGTTTCAAACGCCACGGAGGTCACTATTGCCACTTATTTCTGAGGTCACCACCAAGAAGGGGCTGTATATTTAAGGAACCTGAGGCAGTGGAACAATTACAGACCTAAAAGCAAGGAGGCTCTCTTTCCCGTACACCCATCCCAGCCTTCTCAGGCAGGGACAGGGGATGATGAGGACAGTGAATGTGTATGATTTGACTGCGGAACAGTTTCAGATTGTCCAGCCTATGTTTCATTTCTCAGCCTCACGGAAGAACACTAGCTCAGCCTTTGTGAGACCATGACCCACCCCCACCCTAGGAGCCTGGGGTAGGTGAGGTTCCAAGAGTCTGAAGGGGGCGGAGGAAGTTGGGTCCTGCGCCAGCCTCCACCCTCTGCCCTTCTCGTGGGCTCTGGCTCTCAGTGGCTTGCAAGCCCCTGAAACAGGAGTAAAAGATCGACCCTGGGATTTTCCTCCGATGTGCAAGTGTGTTTCAGAGTAAGCACTTTTCTTTTCCCTGATTCTGTAAGTTGGGTGCTCTGTTTTTAAAAGGGGGCTGGCATCTACGGCTATCTGCATTTTTGTGTTGATTAACAGAATGACCAGCCAGGCCCCCAGTCCAGCACACACTCCCCTCCTGCTCTCTCCTTGGAAAGTCCCCTGCTTAAGGTGGTCTCCCCGAGGAGCTTCCTCTGATGGCCAAAGCTGTCCTTTGGGACGACCTCATTGGGGCTAGGTAGGTCAGTTACAGACATGCCCACCCTTGAGTGTTCCAGATGAGCTTATTTCTGAGCGAATTTTCACAACGACCTTTCCCTAGGAATTCCGCTGGGGCATTTGTTAGGACTGTCAGAGGTCATTCTGATCCTTCCTGTCCAAGGAGCCAACATGTTCCCTTTCTATCCACACCTATCGCCCTGCCCCTGGCTTCTGACATCCTTTCTGGGTCGCCGTTTTCTTTTAGGAGGGGGCGATAACCAGAGGAAATGCCCGCCCTGCTTTGCAGGTGTTTCTGGAGGAACAGGAACGAAGTCTCCCTGACAACAACAGCTGCCTC